TGCAGACTGGAAAACTGCAGAGCTCCCTAATCAGTGTTGACCAGGTACCCTCTGAGTCCCAAGTCATGCAGAACCGAGTAGAACAGACCGCGGGACACATCGCTGGCACTTCTTGCTCCACTAGTCTATCGAACAACAGATAACTTATTCTAAAATACATGTGCAGCACGTCTAAAACAACACAATCAGGTGAAAAACACGGCAACAAATTTTGACATTTTGTGCCCGGTTCACCGCACCGTATGTCGTTGCGAGGAGCACCACCACCCTTAAACAGGTCTTCCTTTTTACATAAACAGTGTAAAGCGGCGAACGAGGAAGTTGCAGCCTTCATACCCAAAGAAATGAGGATAAATTTGCAGTCTGGCGCAGAATATCACTCTGACTTTGACGGTTGATCCCTGAATCTGAATCGGCTCGGTATCGAACCACGAATTTCTTCGTTGAAACTAGCCACAATTTTTTTTGATGTTGTCATACCGCTCAGACTCCTCTACCACACCAAACAAGTGGGGTCCTTTAACATTTGAATCAGTTTCATCAACAAATGTAATGGTGAAGTTGGCAAAGGTACAGAATTTCCCAACGTTTGCCCCATCTGCCGAAAATTCTACACGTATAGCGCCATCATTACAGACGGTTGGGCCAACCTCTTTCATGACAGATGCCATACTACGAAATGATCCATTTGCTGGAGACTGGATATATTGACTAACTGCTTTATTTTTGATTCGTCACTCTGTAAGGACGCTGCACAAGGAGGGCGTGCCAGGAAAAAATTTTCGAAGCCGGTTTTATTTTCTGTGCGATATGTTACTGTCATCCAAAGCTTTCAAAACGGTGCTGGCCGATCGTGTGCTATTTTCATCTAAAGAACCAAAGTGTACAGTTAACCCGTGACGAAGAGCATCTAAGCGGATTTTTTGTTTGATTGGTCACAAAGTTCGTCCCGAAGTCCCCCTTGCCCTGTCTATTGCACGATCTTTTGATGCACGTAGTTTTGATTCGAGCAGCGACGCCTCTGCGCTCACTCTGTCGCATTCAGGTTTCGAAACGACCTCCACAATTCGGGCATCAACTTCAACTCGTCATTCGAAGAACTCCGAATCAAACTCATGTTTTAGTCGATCTAGAGACCACCCACCCCGGCATGACTTTTTTGAACCCTGGATTCTAGCACATGATTTCCGCAAGGCACTGACTTTGCTCGTCGAAATGGGGCGTCGCAGTGAGTGTGCATCAACTTCCTTAACCAGCACCAGTGCCGTGCCTTTGGCACAACAGTCATTATCCTCATACAGTTTCAAAAGATAAGCTTTCCTAATATGTAAATGCGAATTTTTGACAATCAAGTTTCCAGACAATTGTATTTGATTCATAGTGTTGAAAAATGAGGGCTTCAAGATCAACTGCAAACCCACTAACCCACCCACACCATCTAGCAACGCTGTTTGTACAACTTTATGAACAGGTAAAGCCGCACAGCTGCCTTTTTACGCAGTGTGCCGTCTGCGGACCGCACCCGGTACGGCTCGCAGCGGCGGCGGCGCATCTTTACCGCGGCGTCGCGGTTCTGCAGCTCGTTGGTGTCACCGTGCTCATTCACAACACGGATCCACCACTGGTGGTAGACAGGGGTGGCCACCAGGCTGATGATATCTGCGAGCGTTCTGTCGTTGAAATAGCCAGCGTCTGCAGTCTGGATGTCTTGGCGTATGGTGCAGGCGCGCTGCCCTCGCTTGGCGTACTTTAACAGCTGACGCACCTGAGAACATATTTGCTCAAATCAGCGTGTGGGTTTCACCCATCGGATGTTAAGCATGTCTAGACGTGTTCCGGCCAAGTCGGAGCTGGGTTAACGAGCTCAAAGAGGACGAATGTTCTCATAGAATACATCCCATCTCAACCCTTCAATTTTCAACAAAAACACCCTGGCGATTCGACATGTCCTGATAGATTGTGCCCGGGGCACAATATACCAGGACATGACGTACGGTGTAATGACACCCACAGAGAGGATATCGCGGTTGGTCTTCCCCACATAACAGGTATCGGTGAGTTGCGTATGTGTGTCCTATTCTCAGGCGGCATAGCGTCACTTCATCCCGCCTCACCTTACGACAACTGGACGCCCATGGCCCCAACCGGGGCTTTATCTCTTTCAGTTGACTGGCAGCACGCGCAACCCAGTTCGTTTGCCACTGCTTCAGCATGAATGCAGATACCACTGCATATAGGTCGTTAGCTGTGACTGTCACAGTAGGGATGCAAGTTGCGGGTATGGCACGCCTTGCTGCGGCATCAGCTACTTCATTACCACATATGCCAGGTGCCGGGCGCCGAGTCAGGTGCGCTTGCGTGACTGTTTTGACCTTTTTACCACGGAAGAGGTGCTTGACGTAGAAGAAAAGCCCACGTGCTCCACTTGTGCTAGAAGTATCCAGCGTACTCCAAAAACTGGACGATTCAGAGGTTCCCATCCATCCCTGTAGCACACCTGAAACGGTTCTTGCTGCAGCTGGATCGGATCGGGCACCACCTCACCACGCCTGTGGACTTCTCTGCCAGTGGTCTGGAGCTGTCGCCATACTCTGCCGTACTGAGAGCCTGGATTTATAGGCTGTACGGCGTAACACAACATTCTGGCGTGGAGCACTCCGACCACTACACGGTGCACTGTAAACACTCATTTGGGAGGCTGGCACAAGTATAATGACTCCAGATTCCAGCCGTGGATGTGCCCAGGCAAACCTGAGATGGCCTTGTTCGTTGTTTAAACTCATTTTGACCCTCTCTTTTCAACAACAATGAGACCCCACTCTATTCAACAACATTGAGACCTCTTGTTTCATTCCGGGCAAGGGGGGCCCCTTGAGGACAGTACCAGCGACGCATGACCGTTTTCGGTCAAGCGCTGAAGAACCGTTCCGTCCCATCGCGAAGTGTCTCCTGGCTGTCATTCTGGTGACACGGGGCGGGATCTCCTGGTCGACGCGCAGGCCCTTAGAAGGATATATCAGATCACGTTGTTCTCCTCCCTGACACGGGAGGTGTTCTGATCCACGCAGTTGGCCCCAGATTAGCACAGGAACCTTCATTGACGCAACAACATCCCTTATCGATGCAGGTGGTCCAATAGCTGTCACACAGACTCCAGCTCCATATTTGTATGTGTTCTTCGGAGGTACTGAGGACTCCTTGAACGTACATTGTAGATGAAATAGGGTCCCAAATGTGCATTAGCATAGCTAATCCCTTCAAAAAACCTAGGTGAGTTCACGTACAGGTCAACAACCTTGTGAATATGCTGTCTCTAGCTCTCTAAATTCCTGAGATCTCAGGGGGTCAAATTGACCCCCCACCGGAGCGAATGGTATCCAACCGGTCACCAGGCGCGTACTAAGCGATGGCCAATAAGCGAATGAAGAAGATGATGCATCTTGATGAAGATGACTGGTGAACTAGGTAAATCGGTATGCATGTTTAATGTAGTGCAAAAGTAAGCTAAACACAAACTTAATCTAAAAGTGGGGGGAACCAGTTAACACTGCTGCCCCCCCCCCCCCCCCCCCATCTGTTTCAACACCCATGAGGCAACTCGATACAAGTCAGCGGCTCGCTCTCAGAACGCAACTCCAATGTGAATGTCTGCGTCCCAAAACACTCGTAAGCTGATGTCGGTTTGGTGTAGAACAAGATTGCTTTTGCCGACAGCCTGAACATCCCGTTCTCTGGTACAAACTCCCCATTGCATGCTGTGTTTTGGTGACTAGTCTCACCTAATTTGTGTGGATGCAGCCAATCTGGTGGCTAATTTTCTTCCTGGACATCCCCTTAACACGCGCCCGGGTGGCCGGTTGACACCATCCGCTCTGGTGGGGTCAATGTGACTCCCCTAAGATTTCATGAACTGCCAAGGCTAGAAACACCAAATTCACAGGGTTTGTTAGTCTGTGAGCTTACTTGTGTCAAAATTCGAGATTCCTAGGTCGTGACCTTTGGGTCAAATAGTCACTCAAGGTTAAACTCCACGCTGGTATCCAAAGTGCTGCAGAACCCAGATACCTGTTCCAAGCAAAAGGTTGCTGATACTCATGTAGAGTCAGTGGCATTGTTCGACCTTTCAAAGGTCAGGGTGACCAGAATCATACCAGACCGTTTTGACTTTGACGCTTGAATAAGCGCCCATGATTTCTGTAAGCAGAATGTTTCCCAAAACAAGGCTCTGACCGGGCTATCTTAGATCAGTTACCTATTCTGACCTTAAAAAGTCCATGAAAGAAAGTGTGATGAGGTCCTGTTATCAATAAATCCGAAATGAGCATCAGAAACTACTCCATACATCACGCTAGAGAGAAATAAAACACCTAGTTTCTTAACTTGATCTGACTTTCGCACCTGACCCCTGGTCGAGGACATCTGTTCTTTCATTTGCTGTGTTTGATTAACTATCTCAGAGATGTATGGCTTCGTCTCACACTCCGTTGCTGCATCAGATCGAACGATTCCCTCGAAATTGTTCTTCGCTGAATACATGGCCTGCCGTTGACCTGCCGCAGATTATCGACCTTACAAGGTAGATCTAAGTTTTTGATATCAAACGATCCGCTATTCGGCTATCTAAAGCTATGCAAAATTTGGCTCGGCTGCGCTGCGCCGTTCGGAAACTATGCTGGAAATACCTTCGGCAGCCAAATTGACTCCTCCCCCGCCGCCACCCACCTGAGCGCGAGTTAATGCATTTAGTGACTTAAGTACGCGTTGCGATTAAAAACTTCGTTTAAGTAATGGTAAAAACGTCCATATTGTTACTAATAAGCAAGTTGGTAGTGAAATGTTCATTTTGATTGATATCAATCTAATTTGATGCTAGTTGCTACTTTTGGTTATATTTAGTTGATTTTGGTAGCCATAGTTCATGGCTGGTATGTGACATAAGCGGCGGAGAAGAGGCGGGGGCCAGCGGGCGACAGACCTGATTGTTGTAGTAGGAGGACGTGGGAGGACGGGTTGCTCTGAGTCTTCACGGCTCGGGAGGCTTCTTGAGATAAACCGGCAGGACTTTTGTCGGAATACATTTGCTGGGTGATGGCGGATATCTTAAGCAGAGATAGTTAACGAATATCTTCGTTCTAAGGTATGACACGTACCTAGGCGTAACTAGTTTTACAATCTGTTGACGTTATACATGTTCTAAACTCCAAGGAAGCAGTAAGTGAGCATTATCTGTGCTCAGCTGTCTGCTTGTGGGTACTCACCTACCTATTTGTTATTGTGCATTTGGTGATGGGCAAATTGTGTAAGCTGTGATAGATGAGATGTAACAATATATCCATAGTGATGGTGTCAATGTGAATGGCATACATTAAGAACAAGAAAGTCATCAAGACTGAGTTGGAAGAGACAACAAGTATCAGGAATATTTGTTCCTCTTCCTAAATCACAATGAGCCTGTAACTGCATACATGGGTCATCAATTGTCACCCATTTTCTCAACATAGGTACCAGCCTGCCATGTACCTCATGTCTGAAAAATGCATGCAGGGCCAGACCAACCTTTCAAGGAATTTGAATAGTGCCATGGTAAATTCAAATGCTGCAACAAAATTAAGCAGATCATGCAAATTCAGCACAAGAGCCCTATCTGAACTCAGGATATCTGCGTCCCAGTTTCAGTGCACTGAGGGTATTTATATCATTTGGGTGTCTGATGCAGTTGTCAGATTTTTTCAGACTGGCCTGCTGGTGGAAATAGATGAAACCATCCTTTTAAAGAGGATTCTGATGGAACTTACAATGTTTTGCCGAAAACCTGACTCAAATTCTATGAATATCTTGTGAAGGATTAATTGTAATCTGTTATGTAATCTGTGACAGAATTTCCAGCAGTTTAATATATTCTTTGATGAAGTAGATGATAGTTTGGAATGCTTTGGGATCCTTAGGATGCATGCCTATATCATGCAGGCTATGTAGCCATACCCCTTTTTTATCAGAGGGAGCTTTCATTTCAAAGTACTTTTGAAGCAGGATGTATTGCATGCATCATAAACCACCACCCAAGTCTTGCCACTTCAGTGCAATAGACAACTTGCATCACATTCTGCCTGATGGACCTGGAGAGTTTGTACCATGTCATAGCACTGCCTTTGTTGCTGTGGGCCTGGTGTTGGTCAGTTGCAAGCTTATCAGCTTGCTTGGTCTGGCCAAACAATGCACCTGCTCTGAGCTCCAGTTCATTGTTGCTAAATATTGAGTCCAGTACATCTCAGACCATAGGTCTAGAGGTGACTTATGGGTGCAAAATGACCCTAGAAGTTGCTGTGCCCTAAAATGCCAATCATCATCATCATCATCATCAGAGGTGACTTCAATACATTATATTTGTATTGTGCTGTCAGGAGGATGGCCCACTGCTCCTTTGGTAAACCCTATCCACTTGCACTGTGATATATCTCTGGGCAGCAATTATTTATAGGCTTGTGTTGTATGCTTTGAAGATCTTGAAACCCCCAGTTTTATACAGAAATCAGTACCAGTTGGTGGTACTTCTCATTGAGCAGATATTTTGTTAAACTGACAAGTAGTAGTCATGATATTGTAAAATAATTGTCACATGTTCAGACCAGGGAGGCAAAGCCACACCTGCTCTGCTCATCTGTGTGGTCTTCTGGGCATATATGTCTGTTTTCTTGAAGTGCTATGCTGGTGAAGCATTTGTGCACACTTTCACAAATGGTGTTATGGGAATGCTACCTGGTGCTGAATGTGCCCATGCCTGGGTGTCTTGATAGGTGGAATGGGTGAATTGCACTAAGTCATAGTTTTGGTGACTGTGATCAAAGAAACTGACATATTGGAAAAATATGATGATTTTGGTGGATACCAGTCACAATACTGGGGGCATGCACCTATGTAGTTTTCATGACCTGGCTGTCTAAGCTTGGGCCACAGCATGTTGCATTTGGGACAGGTTTTAGAAGGGCTTATATTGACAGCTTCCTGGACAGACACAGGTGCACCCATGGGTCAAGCGGCATCAAGATCATGATTCTATTTACAGCTGGCATGTTTTTCTACATTGTAGAATCGGTTTCACTTCTCTGTCTTCTCTGGTCATCCAGATGATGTCATTCCTTAGCTCTGCTTGCCAAGACCTTGGCCTCTCTCTGATCTCCAACATGGAAGTTCCAGTCTTAATTGAATGAGGAAGCAAAATAGGTTTGACATCACAATTTTGCTGAAACAAGGTGTTGAGTCAATGTTTCCAGTTATTTGAGTGCTGTGAAATTGGACATATTGCAGTACATGCAAATACTTGTGCTGTGCTGCTGAAAACTGCATCACAGTATGGTCAGTAGCTGTACAGGTTTAAGCCTGTCAGAAGGGAAGCCAATCATGCCAGAATGGCCCAAACATACTGCACCCATCTAATGTGGTGAATGAAATGGCTCGTGCGTTTGCGGAGCGTTGTGGGAGAACAAATACCGCTGCCGAGTTCACATCCCACGTGCTCTTTGTGAAGCAGCTCAGATAAAGTTTCATACAGCTGAGGAGCTCTCATGTAACAAGCCTTTCAGTGTTTGAACTTATATGTGCCATTAAATATCCGCACAGCGTGGCACCTTGGCACTATGGGCACCTTTCTTGCGAACTTTCTTGCTGTCCTTTTTTCTTGAGTCAACACTGGTTTCGTGCGCTCGGAACAGATACACTGAAGAGAACGGTGTGCGCCAGGGCAGTGTTTTAAGTATTGCGTTGTTTGCTGTCATGATAAGTAATGTCGGGACAGTTTTTCTCAGTCGATTGGTCGCTCGCTTTACGTTGGTGATCTCGACATCTGGTGCAGCTCCGCCATGACAGCGTGCATGTCTCGCTAGTTGCAGTTGGCTGTGACTCGCGTAGAAATGTGGAGCATGCTCAACGGTTACAGTTTTGACCTCGAATGCAGGTTCCATCCACTTTTGCCTTCTGTTTTGCCGGCGTCGGTGTCCCGACATGGCGCTTAAGTCTTGTTGACTGCCATACTCTTGTGGCACAGTTTTTGGAGGTTACATTCTGATGAGCCTTTGACCTACAAGGAACATGTTAGCATTATACATGACAAGTGTTTAAGGACACCGAACATGTTAGAATGCGTGACACGGAACATCTCATGGAGCAGATCGTCAAACGCCTTTATTGTTGTACTGTTCATTGATTAGATCTAAACTTGACTACGGGTATTTTATGTATGACCGTGCGCCGACCTCCTTCAAACTTCGTTTAGTCATCATACGCCACGCTTGCAATTAGCCAGACTTTGTTATATCTCACCATCTCGTACGTAAAATGACCTGTGGGTTTTGACAACGAATTTGACATGCACTCTTTGTATTTCAGAACTTATTCAAGATGGACTTCGGGTATTTGTTAGATCTAGCCAAGCAAAATGAAGACCATTCCAAGATCTTGGTATGTATGCTGCATGCTTAAAAAATGCAGTGCTGCTTTTCGTATCCACGATATCAATCTCGAATGCATTTTGACATGCTCTGTGGAGTCTGGTGCATTTTGTCCATGTACGGGTGGTCGTCCTCATTTTTTACCGAAAATTCTGATCACGTCACTGTTGCACCTCTTGCGTTCCTTCCGTAGGCATTGTTTATCCGTGGGGTTAATCATAAAGTGAGGGGCCTTGCGTCGGACCCTTTCTATGTGGGCTGGAATATGCAGGAAGGTATGCATTCAGTAACACTTCCATTTATTCACACTTGTGCATGCGTTGGTCACAGTTTTTTTAGAGGGAAAAATGGAATTGCATTGCTAGCCATAGCACATTGATGGCGTACGGAGTTTCCTCAGCATCTGTCTTATTCTGTATGTGTTAAGCATTGAAAGCACCCTTTGCTTTCTAACAGGCTAAGGAAAAACGCTTCTCAACCGAGCTGTCGAAGGCCAAAAAGTTGGAAAGATCACGGGTCAAGACCGGAAATATTCAGAGATTTCTGGCCCAAAGAGATGCAGAGGAGAAGAAAAAACAGCAAGAGGCAAAAGATAAGAAGGAGGTAAGGACCACTAGAAAACACAGAATAGGACATCGTATAGTTTTACGGATGGACTGAGACGAGATATGGATAACATGGGTGAAATAATGGTCCGAACTGCCGTACTCGTGTAGTTTGTTCGTATGTGCCTCTGTGCTGAATGGAGAAGCCCGGCTCTTTCTACTTTTCAGTCATTGTTAGATCAGGCTGGTACGATTTGATTGGTAATGCCAGTTTTCCTGAAATTCTTCTGAATAGCTCAGAATTTGTATTTGAAGTAGCTGCTCCCATGGGAGAAATATCATTTGACTCCCTGCTAACCGCTATGAAAGTAATGCATTTAGTTTGTCCTGTTTTTCTAGCATGTGTGTTCTGTAATGTTTGCAACACACTTAGGTGTCAACATGGTTGCGTAATAAATGCTGCGAAAGTTTGAAAGACTGTTAAGACAAAAAATCTGCGAACATGAACCTATTATCCCGCGAATTCAATGAAACCTTATACTATGGCCCTGATTTCTCTTCTATGGCGTTTACCACAGTGGCTCTTTTCGAGGAGCACTTTGGCTTTGATAATGGGAGTATCACATGATCTAAGTAACGCACGGGCTCAAACTTCATTCAGCACGCTCCTCGGTGACCGGCTCTTGCCCGCTGGACCAATCACAAGTGTTCTTTTATGCGCATCAACGGAAGTGCGCGCGGCAACAAGACTATTGCAAAGTGTTGGCAGTGTGATTTGGATTCGAATTAATTGAAATTGAAATCCTTAATATGTCTTGACAGTGCTGCGCTATTATCAGTGGTAAATGGTCCTGAGGTTTCATTAGAGAAGGTCTTTGAAATATGCCCCAAAGGTGGTACACCGCCTTCAGTGTTTACATTCTAACACACCCGGCGAGCATGATGGCGGTGGCCGTGTTGTCGACAGTTAATTCCAAACAGTTATTCCAGCTCTGATCCCAGGTACTGCATTATATGACCTATATTGGTATGGAGCAGTGTCTGTAGGTGCTGTAGATGTTCACAATCCTGGATGCGTAGCGGCCGCTCACCGACACGCTCTCTCCAGACGCTGCTGAATCTGAGGGACCAGCAGAAGGGCTCGAAGCGGCGCGTCAGTGCTATGCTGAACCGAAACAAGGCGGCTAATCGCTCGGTGCTGGAGGACGCCAAGGACAAGTACAACACGGCCGCCACCATCGACGGTAGGTGACGGACGGAACCATAAGACAGGTACAACACAGCCGCCAGCATGGACGGTAGGTGACGGACGGAACCATAAGACAGGTACAACACAGCCGCCAGCATGGACGGTAGGTGACGGACGGAACTTAAGACAGGTACAACACAGCCGCCATCATGGACGGTGGGTGGCGGACCGGATTTCAGGGCGAGTGTAGTGGGGCCGCCGCCAGACATAGTGGCGGCCATTTACATTTATGAGGCTTAGGATATAAGGCTGAGGGTATAAGGAGTGGGTGGGGTGGGTGGGAGCGGAATTGGTATGCACAGCCGTCCCTTATCATGTGTTCGGTTGCTCTTCTTGATCGGGGTGAGGTGGCCCGAATTGCACGCGGATGCTTTGTGCAGTTTCGGAGATTTGCTGAAGTTGGAGGCACGCAGGTGCTCCGTGCAGTTTCAGAGATTTTCTGAAGTTGGAGGCGCGCAGATGCTTTGTGCAGTTTCAGAGATTTGCTGGAGTTGGAGGCACGCGGATGATTTGTGCAGTTTCGGAGATTGCTGGAGTTGGAGGCACGTGGATGCTTTGTGCAGTTTCAGAGATTTGCTGGAGTTGGAGGCACGTGGATGCTTTGTGCAGTTTCAGAGATTTGCTGAAGTTGGAGGCACGTGGATGCTTTGTGCAGTTTCAGAGATTTGCTGGAGTTGGAGGCACGCGGATGCTTTGTGCAGTTTCAGAGATTTGCTGGAGTTGGAGGCACGCAGGTGCTCCGCGCAGTTTCCGAGACTTTCTGAAGTTGGAGGCGCGCAGATGCTTTGTGCAGTTTCAGAGATTTGCTGGAGTTGGAGGCACGCGGATGCTTTGTGCAGTTTCGGAGATTTGCTGGAGTTGGAGGCACGCAGGTGCTACGTGCAGTTTCAGAGATTTTCTGAAGTTGGAGGCACGCCCCGAAAGTCGACATGGAAAATGGTGGAAGGATCGATCTCATGTCTGATGAATGGTGGGGGCATTGGCTTCTAGACATGGCGATCAAAAACACCGATCAACAGTGTTTGTGAACCGAAGCGTCTGTTGCTATATAGAGAAGCGGGTTCGCTCGGCGGCGTGTAACGGTGGTGTGTTTGTTTCTCGCGTCGCAGGTGCTTATCAGCCGGACGAGGACGACTACGGCTACGAGTCGAAGACGGCCTCGGATATGTACAGCAAGCTGTTGCGCCAGTACGAGAAAATCCCTGACAAAAACTATTTGAAGAGGGGCAAGGCCAAGTCGAGCGGGCGCAGTCTGGACCTGGCTGCTACCAAGGTGAGGCGGGTCGTGCTGGCTGGCCTGCCGCTCTGAGCAGTCTCAACAGATGGACCCACTTCATGTATCATGTAAAGGACAAACTGGCTCCCCCTGAGCGGATACAGCGGGTGGGTGCGGGCGCCAACCGCCGTCGTGAGTGCCAGCTGGTTTGTGGCGGACCGTGTGCGCAGGTGGACTGTGTGCCACCTCCTGTGCTCGCTGCCTGATTAGTGCCACCTGTTTCCGGCGACAGGCTCGCGTCAAGCAGTCACTGGACCACCAGGAGGAGGAGGAGCGCAACATGAAGGGTCACCGGCGGCGGCGCAAGCACGCCGAGTCGACGGGGGCCGAGGCGTCGACGCGCTCTTCCTTGCCACCGCCCGGCTCGCCCGGCGCCGACCAGCCGCCGTCCAAGAAGAAGAAGCCGACGGTCGTGCGGCGCGGTGGCCTGCCGCCGCCGCCGGGGCTCGACTTCCACGCCATCCTGGCGCTGGCGGCCGAGAAGCAGCACCAGCCGATCATGGTGCCGGAGCGGCCGAGCCCTGCCGACACCGATGAGCGGCCGCTCACGGCGAAGGAGAAAGCCGAGATCGAGCAAGTCGGCAGCGCGAGCTGCGCAAACAGGGCAAGCTGCCGCCGGCCAAACACAAGGACTACAATGACGTGCTCCCGGCCAGCAACAAGGGCGGCAGAGGGCGGGGCGTCGAGTCGGCTCGCCGCCGCGAGGAGCCAAGCGCCAGCAGGGGCCGGGCGGCGTCGCCGGAGCCGCGGCCGGGCCCGTCCGGCGCCCGGCCTACGCCCGACGCCGGGCGCAAGCCGGGGCCGCCCACCGACGTGCGCAGGAGACCATCCCCGCCGCCACCGAACGCCAAGCGGAGACCGTCTCCGCCACCGAACACCAAGCGGAGACCGTCTCCGCCACCGAACGCCAAGCGGAAACCGTCGCCGCCGCCGGATGCCAAGCGGAGACCGTCTCCGCCACCGAATGCCAAGCGGAGACCGTCTCCGCCACCGAACGCCAAGCGGAGACCGTCTCCTCCGCCGAGCGCCAAGCGGGGACCATCTCCCCCACCGAACGCCAGGCGGGAAACCGTCTCCTCCGCCGATCGCCAAGCGGAGACCGTCGCCGCCGTCGGGCGCCAAGCGGAAGGCGCCGCCTCAGTCGGAGGTAAAGCGGAAGCAGGTCCCGCCAGCTGACGCGAATCGGAAAACAATACCCTCAGAAGACGTGAGGCGGAAGCAGTTCCCGCCAGCGGACATGAAGCGCAAGCAGTTCCCGCCTGCGGACATGAAGCGCAAGCAGTTCCCGCCTGCGGACATGCGACCGAAACAATTCCCTCCAGCCGACATGAAGCGGAAGTTTGCGGGCGGAAGAGGTCCCCCCACCCAAGCCAAGTAAGTGTCATGGGAAACGGTGACATTTGGACGGCTGTGGGAGGTATAGGAATGGTAAGCGTTGTGGGAGGGAGCACCAGCGCATCTCCATGGGCATTGGGGTATTTGCGGAATGGTACTTCTGGATGTAAAACTGTTCTTACACCGTCCGCGTACGGGTCCGCTGACGCCGTTTGGCAGTCTTTCGCTATCTAGTTGGCGATGGCGGTTAGTCAAAATTCGGAATCGCTGTAACCATGTGTGTGACATTTCCTTTTCGCCGTCGGTAGTTGGTAGGCGACGCGTTCGGCAACGGTTTGCGATGATTGTCGACTGATGGAAACGAATACGCAATGGGAATCGTGCTTTAAAGGCATTAATATTTCATCGAAGACACTATATTCGTATGAATTTGCTCAGTACTAGATACCAACCAGTTGTTTAATTGTCAGCCTTCCCGCTCCGCGTAATCGTCGCTGTGTTGCAAGTGGTTTGGCCTTGAGCCTCTCTCCCTCCCCTTTTTAAACTTGAGCGTTTAAGGTACAGACATCGTGTCGAAGGAACTGGTGTAAATCTTAAAATTACCACCCCATTTTTGTTTTTAAGATCAACATTTCTGTTTTCCAATCGTGGGTCATTGCATCGCAGTCCATGCACGTGCTATTTGTGTCAACTTGCCATCCATCATGACAAATTTTGACGCGCGAAACGAAACCCAACTGGTTACAAGTTTCGTATTTACAAGGTATTTCCGTACGGCGGCTTGTGCTAGCGTACTGAGGTCTCATACCGTTATCAACGCGGATTCACATGCGTGTGGGAGGGGGAAGGGGGGGGGGGGGGCAAATCTGGTTATGTGTTTAATTATGCAGCATGCAATAAGCTGACTGGCTCACCGCATATGCCGTTTTTCATTTAGTGACTCCTTGCCAAAAGTAGGCGATTTTTACCTGGCCGAATCGTTGGGGATGGCGAGCGCCGAAGGGTTATGTTTGTCCCTGGCAAGGAAAATACCGCTATTTACGACCGTCTACCGTTCAGCCTTGTCGACCAGTGACTCATGATGGGGTCTTGTGTTTGTAGATCGCATTGAGTCGGATGACTCAGAGTATGACTCTGAGATGGACGACTTCATCGATGACGGCCCGTTGGAGGAGGAGAACGACTATTCGTCGGCCATCAAGCAGATCTTCGGCTACGACAAGAACAAGTGAGATGGTCTTTCCTGACTGCGAGACAGCGAGCATTTTGGACACACCCGGCTGTCATGTCATGGTCGCGCTCATTGGAGGCTTCCTTTACGTTTCTGGTTTTGGTCCTGCAGGCTATGCACCGTACGCCGCGATGCAACATTTAAGCTGTTGAGCGATCAGTAACACGACGTGTTTCTGACGTTATTATTTTGTTTCTTTTTTGACCAGACATTTTTTTCTCTGAATAGCGGGACCGGTGACGCAGACCGCCTGTGATCCGCTCCGTCCCCCCCCCCCCTCCCCTCTGGTACCGGAACACGCCGGCCAGCTCTGACCGGTGCCCGGTCATCGAGGGTGCCTCTGGTCGGCGCCGTCCCTTTCCGAGAACTGTCCAGACTCTCGGCCGCCGCTGATGCCGTGCCGGCCGCGTCCCAGGTACCGTGACGTGGACGAGGACGTCTCTGACATGGAGGCCGACTTCGGCACCATGATGAACGAGGAGGCCCTCTCGGCTCGGCTGGCCCAGGAGGAGGACGACCGCGAGTATCGCAAAGAGCTGGAGCACAAGCGGCGCAAGATGGCCATGAAGAAGCGCGGCATGGGCCGCTAGCAGCGCCGGCTGACAACGCACGGAGCGGGGTGCGCGGCCGGACAGCGGGCGCGACTCTTCGTGTGGCGTGCGTACTGCTATACACGGTGTACGTGCCGTGGGACGCGCTGACGGACGTCGCGCAGAAAGAGGGGTATGCGTGTGGTGGTTTTGGCACGGGGAGGTCAGAGCGGGCGTGTGCTGTGGATTGGTGTGGCTTGGCACGACAGGCTGGGACCTTGTGTGCGATGCTGGACGTGTTGGTGTATTGTGTGGGAAGCGACCTGGAGTGGTTGTGTGCTTCGTGGTTGTGGCAGCGTCATGTCATGACCCAAATAGGGAACATCAAATGTCAACATTCTGCGGGGTGGTGTGTTTTAGAGCGGCGTGCGCAGCCTGCACGGGTTAGGAATGCGAAGGAGGGACGGGGAGTGGAAGGGGGGAGCGGAGTGGAAGGAGTCGCTTGATATATCTCCCCCTAAATTGATGTATTTTGTGAGCTGCGTGGATTGGTGGGGGCCCGGCGCGAAATAACAGTGTAGTGTATTTGCTGATTGCAGTGCATCTCAACGTGTGCTCGTTACGCCTTACATATTGGGAGGACGCCGCTACTGCAGAGTGCGGCCGGCGCTTTGCCGACTTAAGATGCTGATTCCACATGCGCAGTGATAGGTGAAGGCGCTGTCCACGCTTGAGACATGCCGCACGCGATAGCTTAGCTGCGTGGTTTGGGACTCGCGGTCCCGCGATGTGCAGCACTACAGGCCTTCTGTTTTCCGCTGTGGCTACTGACACGGCACTGACATGCGTTGTGTTGGCTGTTATGTTATCCCGCGTACCGGAGTGGGCCAAACGGTCTGTGCGCGTTTAAGTCCGTCACGAATGAGCCTGTCTAACAATCACGCTCCGTGTATCTTGTAAACCATTGTCGCAGAATGTTGTGTGTTGTTGAACTTGTTTTCTTTCCGATATGCCATTACGGCCCCGGCCCCACAAACGTTACTGGATGAACGGCGGATCAAAGGCGCACTTTCTTTCATGCTGTTGATTGTGACAGTAGCATGTTAGATGCACAGTGCAATGCCTCTGCTGCGACGCGGGCTGGTGCCACGTGAGGTGTGCCTCCCACCGTGGTCTGGCGCGACTAGACCTGTCGGTGCCCCGCGGCTGGCACGCGCCACGCCCTCCAACGCAGCGCAGCTGTCTAAATGAATTCCTTCGAGAGTCGAACCTCCATGCCCAGCACATTTCATGGTCGGTGTGCCGGCGAGCCATTCTGGAACGGACGGCCTCCCTTGCGTCTGCGCCGCGGCCGCTGTTTTGAGTCGCGTGGTTTTGGTGTTCCACCTTTTGTGTTCAGAGGTGTGCCGCTCCGCGAACTGTCGCATTTTTCTACATAAATGGTCCTGATTCCTTGATGGACCGCATATTTTTCCATGAGTTAGTGCTGGGCGTGCTTGAGATTGTACCCAACACACGCCCAGCTGTAGTTTACACGGTAAACGAATACAAAGCAGTGATTGTGGCGTATTGTGCAATGAATGTATTCTGAAACGGAACTTTCATGCGTGTTCATAGCGGCTGGCTGTTGCGTGGAGCTGGCGGAGGCCAGGCACAAGCAGAGCCGAGGAGAAATATGGCCGGGCATGGGTGCAGAGAATGCGGGCCGGCGCCCAGTAATCGTGTAAAGTAATCCCAGTAATCCCCGAACGACATGCAGCCCGTGATGTGCGAAAAGGTTGGTACCTTCCAAGCTTATCACTGGGTTACCACAATCGGCTCGTAACAAAAAAAAGTGACGATAGCATTTGCATTCGTTGTCATCTCATTGCGAGTCACACAATTGTGATAGGGTTACCTGCTAAAATGAAAACGAGCTGGATAGAGCAGATACCCGACGCTCCCCATGTAAGGTGATGCTAAAACAACAACCATCCAGGAATGTGGCGCGACGACACGAACTGTACACACCTGTCACCCAGCCTACAAGTCATTTGGACGGCATCCCTCTGGTGTATTCCATCCCATAAACACCGGGTAATAAAATCAACGTGCCCAACACACCGCCGCATCCATTCGTGCCTAGGCTGCTGCTGTTGCAAATCTAGCTTTCCGTGAACGGCTGTGCGTCAACTGCCTCCACATACACCTTACAATACAAACAAATCTTCAAACAAGAGCAGCAGTCCTCACAGCCGATGGGCTTCGGCAGCAGGACTCCCACCTCGTTCTCGACTGGAACGTGAGCCGGCTTCGTCCATAGACGCAGCCGGTGCGCCCGGAACGGTCCGAGGTCGGTCCGGCCACTCGGGCTTGGAAGCCATAGTCCGTGGGTGCCTGCGCCGTCCGCAGTGCCTGAGACATCAGCTACAAATCACTCGCGCACAGCCACCGCAACACCGTAACACCACAAACTACGCAAGGTCGCCGGGCCGCAACCCCCACGAAGCATTGCATCCTGTGCTGACCTGGAACAACGCGGGAGTCGGCACCGCGGTCACCGATGCATGTCACAGCGATCTCGGCACGTTAGCTGCGGCGGGAGAAAACGCCCTGCAGCCGGCCAACACCTCACGCCCCACCGCAGCGTCGGTTCAGCTGCTGCGGGGGCGTGGTCAGCTGAACACCTCGTGCAGCACCAGCAGGCGGTCTTCGAACGGCGGCCGGGCGCAGCGCAGCTGCTCGAAGCTCCGCTCGGCCTCGCGGTCCCGCATCAGCTCCAGGTGGCGCCAGCAGCGCTCGCCCGACTCGGCTGCCGTGTCCGGCCGGCCGGCCGCCGTCCGCACGGTCCGGATGGCGTCCGGCCGCCCGGCGGTCGCCATCATCACCTGTAGTAGTGTTGACCGCCGACAGGTGCCGGGAGGAGCGACGGCGGGCCGCGGCGGGTGCCGCTTCGGGAGCCGCCCCCGGAACAGCTGAACAAACACAAACCATTTAGGGAACGTCGTGAACAGTGTAAAGGGAGAGATTTTGCCGCCACTAGCAAACCAGCGCTGATATTAACATATTCACCACCGACAAGCGGGAAAGGTGAACACTACGAAAAAAAAAACTGCAACGGCGGGCGCGACGGTGTTCCGCTTACACCTTGCCGGATTCACGTGAGCAGAACAAGACATCGACAAAGACATCATAAGACAGCGGTTCGGAACCAACCATAAGCCAGACGTTCCACCCCGACCTCCTGACCTTATAGTGCCGGTGGCGCGGGTTCTCTGTGAGTTCCTGGAGCACCTCGTCCGTGCGGGGCCCCGAGCAGCAGGCCAGCGCTGCCGGGTCCATCGGGTGCGCCTCTGGCGGGCGGACGAGACCTCGTGCCAGACACAGCAGCAGATGTGACGCATACACCGTCTGCATTGCTATTAACCTGATAGTAACAGGTTAGTAGCAATGTGGATAGTAGCGCGTCCCTAATGAAGAGGTCGTGACCTCACGTCCCCGCCCCCCCCCCCCCCCCAATGAAAAGTTGCGGTTGCTTGGTTTTCTGGCCCATCGATTGCCCCTCCCACACATCAAATGCTGGCGACACCCTGGCTTCCAGGGCTCATCAGACCAGCCACGGCTCCAGTAAGAGGGGCAACAGGGTGAAAGGGGGGCGTGGCACATTGGTCAGGCAACATCGCCAACTGCAATCCCTGCGAACGCGACAGCGTGCCCGGTACTGCGGTGGACACTTATCAAAGTGCAATGGAGCTGACCTGAGTCGAAGGACCTATCCAACTTGACCTAGTGCTGACCTATGTCACGCCCTATTGACCGCCATGACCGCCCGCATGCCTATCTCAGACCTACCCACCGGCATGATACGGCACCAGCCCATGTCGAAGATCTCTCCATCGCCGGAGCGCTACTGACCTGCGCTGAAGCGCTCTTTACCGGCGTATTGCACCCCTGACCTGTGTTGAAGACGTAGCCGCCGGCGTGCAGCACACATTGGCCGCGGGGCGTGTCAACCACGCGCGCTGAGGTGCCCGGGTTGTGCAGGAAGTTGGCAGGGTCAAACAGCAGGTACAGGTACTTGGTGGTCTCCGCCAGGAAAAACGACTCCATGCGGTTGTCCAGAGCGTGGTTCCTAACGTTCTTTACCTGTGAAAGTGTGTGGAATCACATGCAGGAGACACGTACACATACGGCCAAGGGGCTACAGCACAGCTCCCACTTCGCGTGAAAACGACAACAGCGATCAGACCCGCAAAACGAACGAACTCCACTGTTCAAAAGCGATGGCTTGCATACGCCTCAATGTGGTCGACGGTCGTTCACCGACTTTACGCCAGAACACTCTTGCAGACGCGTGCTCATATTTGCATATATTGTATGCACACCATATTGGTAGTATGTGAAATTCATGACAAACGTAGCGCGGGTGGTTATACCTGACGACAAATATAGTTAAGATGCAAAACCAACGCTACAGAAAGATAGTCTGGCTTGAATCACGAGTACAATTTACAACAGTTCCTAACAACGCCACCTACAGAGAAGTAGGTACGGCGCGGCGCCCTGGCACGGCGCGGCGCACCCACAGCAGCGACTCACACCGCCATTACACCCGACAAGCTCACCGTGGCGTAGCCGCAGCGCGTGCGCGCCGAGTGCTGGATGGAGCGCAGCACGTGCTCGCCCATGGTGACGAGCTCGGGGTTGCGCGTGCTGCGGTACAGGTACATGAGCGACTCGACCAGCTCGGGCCGCAGCGGGTAGCCCTCGCGACCGTCGGTAGCCTCGCCGTGTGGGATGTTGTAGAACTCCGGCGTGAAGCCGTACTGCTTCCACACCTGGAAGTAGTTGTGCAGCGAGCCCATGGCGGCCGCGTCGTCGCCTGTCGGGCACGCGAAAGCGTCAGTCGGCGGCTGAGGGCGGCGCCGCTCCGTCAAAGCCGTCCTCCACCACAGCGGGCGCGAGAGGCAGCCGAGCCCACAATATGCGGAAACAGACCCGCCATCGGGTAGCAGCTGACCACCAGATGTCGCGCCCTGCGCTTAGAATAGTCAGAACTGGCGCAGAGCGACAAACAGAAAACGATGCATCACAGCCCCAACTCAACACCAGCACACGGACTACCGACATCGAGTCAAAATATTTTAGGGGAGAGCCCAGAGAGGCGACGCCCACCGTCCGATCGAGCGCTCCCGCTCACCGACGAGAGACAGCAGACCGGGCCAGAACGCCTCCAGGCTCTGGAAGACGGGTATCGTGACCTGCCCGCGCGTCATCGACGTCCACATGTGCCAGTCATCACGGCGCACGTAGCTGTCGACGGCGTGGCGCGCGCGCCCGAACATGGCCATCAGCTCGGGCCGCTGCAGCAACTGCGAGCCTTTCACCAGGTACTCGTAATAAGAGTCGACACCAGCGCCTGCCGGCACAGGCGTCACGTGACAGTCAGCTAGGCTGCACGGCATCCTACAAGTATGCGTGTCACAGACAGATAAAGAAGACAACTAACGGGATGTGCATGCGGTCAACGTGTGCATTATTCAGCCACGCCGCGCACGCACGTAGGCGCGAACGCAAATAAGCACGCGCGCACGCACGCACACGAGCAAGCAAGCACGCCTTGGCTCTCGACCCAGCTCAGGCAAATGCCCACGACACGTCGACCAAGGTGGGGACGCATCCCGAACAGGAAGACGGTCCGCCGCCAGCTACAGGACATCGCGACGACTGCTGTGGCGCCCCGCTGTCCCAGCCGGCGCGGCAGCACCCACCAATGCCGGCGTCCAGCGCCGTCCACTTCCCGGTCAGCACGTTGATGTGGTTGCCGAAGAGTCCGATGGATGACTGACGCTCCCACAGCGCGTACAGAGCGCGCATGGCCACCCGCTCATACAACGGGTCACCTGGGAACACGGGGCGCCAGGTCAAGAGGGCCGGTGCCCGGCTGACCCCTCTTAGCGGGCACACGGTCGCTTTGTCAGGCGGTCAGCCACACACACAGTAAACGTGCGCTTACTGAGTAGCGTATCCGAGGCAAACATGCCAGATAAGCCACGGGGAATCACTACATAATAAACGTATCGTGCAGCACCTGATGATTGCAAAAGGCACCTCCGCTGTCCACACTCACACCAGACCAGAAGGCGGTGTCTCAAAAACTTACTATCGGTTACCGATTTTGGCGCGTTTCACCCTCACAGATTGGAGCCGAAGTTACGTGTCCGCGTCGCCTCCTAGCGCCCGCCCCTGACTACGCTCCGCTCTTCGCCCGCGGCGGCGTACCTGTCAGCCGCGAGAGCGTGCCGAACTCGACCACGAACGTGCCGACGCCGGCCGTGCACGTGACTGGCGTCTCGGCCGGCGGCACACCGTAACGCAGGTTCACCGTGCCGTACGGCATGCCTAGCGAGACGTGCCGGCCACGGGGTCAGCACGAGCGTCACGGGGTCAGCACGAGCGTCACGGGGTCAGCACGAGCGTCACGGGGTCAGCAAGAGCGTCACGGGGTCAGCAAGAGCGTCACGGGGTCAGCAAGAGCGTCACGGGGTCAGTACGAGCGTTACGGGGTCAGCAAGAGCGTCATGGGGTCCGCAAGAGCGTCACGGAGTCAGTACGAGTGTCAAGGGGTCAGCAAGAGCGTCACGGGATCAGTACAAGCGTCACGGGGTCAGCACGAGCGTCACGGGGTCAGCAAGAGCGTCACGGGGTCAGTACGAGCGTCACAGGGTTAGCACGAGTGCAAAGTGGGTCAGCACGAGCGCCACTGGATCAGCTCGAGCGTCACGGGGTCAACATGAGTAGCACGGAGTGAGCATGACCGTTACGGGGTTAGCACGAGCGTCACCGCATCAGCACCAGCGTCACGGGGTCAGCACGAGCGTCATGGGGTCAGCACGAGCGTTATGGGGTTAGCATGGGCGCCAGGGGGTCACCACGAGGGCCATGGTGTCAGTGCGAGGGCCACGGAATCAGCAAGATCGCCACAGGGTTAGCACGAACGCCACGGGGTCAACACGCTGGTCACGGGATCAGCATGAACGCCACGGGGTCAGAACGAGCATCACAGGGTCAGCACGCTCCTCACGAGATCAGCATAAGCGTCACGGGATCAACACAAGCGTCAAGGAGTCAGCACGCTGCTCACGGGATCAGCATACGCGTCACGGGATCAGCATAAGCGTCACGGAGTCAGCACGCTGCTCACGGAATCAGCATAAGCGTCACGAGATCAGCACAAGCGTCACGGAGTCAGCACGCTGCTCATGGGATCAGCATACGCGTCAAGGGATCAGCACGAACGTCACGGGGTCAGCACGCTGCTCACGTGATAAGAGTAAGTGTCACGGCATCAGCATAAGCGTCACAGAGTCAGCGCGCTGCTCACGGGATCAGCATAAGCGTCACAATATCAGCATGAGCGTCACGAGATTAGCACGAGCGTCACGGGGTCAGTACGTGGGGCAGCGGCGGCGACGCACGACATGGCAGCAGCCGGAGCCACGACGCGCTTCCGGCCGCCGCCGCCCCTGGCTCGGATCAGAGGCGCGACCGGCGGCGAGGGCAGCGGACAGTGTCTCCTGTCGGGCGCCGGAGAGCGCGTGCCACACCCACCCGTGGGCGTGTCGAAGGCGGGCAGCAGCCTGGCGGCCACGTCCGCTGCCAGCGCCAGCAGGGGTCCGTTGCACGGCCAGCCGAGCGGCAGCGGTGCGCCGGCCCTGCGCAGCCGGCCAGATTAGCCCGGAAGGCGACGCTCCACTGCCACAGACAAAACATGACCAGCCAAAGAGCATCATCCCACAGGCAGAGGTGCGTGCTTGGTAACTTTGTTTGCATTGTTTGCTTAACTAACCGAATGCCATATCAACCGTTATTCTGAACTTTGCGTTGATGCGATAACGTTGGCCTCATTACGGAAAACCATGCTCACTGCCATGTCCTATCGTGATGTCCACTTTTTAAATGATAAGTTATGACCGTTCCCGCCTCATTCCAGCTCTCTGAGCACTAGCGTTCAGCACGGTATCCAGTAAGCCTGCAGCACTGCCACGCCTGTACTAGAGCAGATCTACACACCACTGACCTATCCAGCATGAGGTGAGCGCTGAGCAGACCACCCACCACACGGATGTTGGTCTCGAACACGGACACGTTGATGTTGAGGTCCATGTCCGAGTGTGACGTCACGATCAGCTCCGCCACGCGACGGAACTCGCTGTGGACAGAAGACACGACGCTGCAGTATGTGAGGGACGGGGCTGGGTCCATCACAGCTGGGCCACAACGACGTGCGGGGAAGGACGGACGCCGCCACACTGGTGTCGTGCAGGCTACGGTTTTTTCCACGCAGCACTTCTCGGTAGATTCTATGGATAACCATACACTTGGCCACAAGACAACAGCGACGCCATGCATCCGCCATCCGCCGCCCCAAAGGGCAGGTTAAACACGCCATCTACGCACTGCCAAGGGGCCTTGAAGGACGCCCCCTGCTGGTGGGATCCGTCGGCCCCTCACCTGTGGTTGCCCATGACCGCCAGTGTATCAAGGGCGTCGATGAGCGTGAGCGAGTAGCTGCCCCAGGTGTCCACGCCGTCACATGTGAGCGGACGCAGCTCGTCCAGTGGGTATGCGTGCTGCAGGTAGCCCTCATATGAGTGCTGGAACATCTCACGCACCTCCTCCCTGCAGCAGAAACAGAAAGTGTTGCATTAGGGAGTGGACCATGAGCACCAGCTAGAGTGTCAGACATGTGTGAATAGGACTTAGAGTTTGCTGGTATTTACTATCCACCCACCCAACACAAACAACACTGTACTTACTTCTCAAGTACTTTCTAAGTATTTGATAATAAAAAGCATACTTCTTTAGAAGCCCATACTGGCAGCAAAGCTGCTTATGTATTGTCAACAGTAACATGCTCTCTTGAACCCGCCAACAATGGGGATTCCATATAATTCTTTTACTTGTACTTTATAGGCACGTATATGTGTACATAGGAGCGAAAAACAAAAACAGGATCACTAAACAATTTCCAAGCTTTAATCCAAAATATCTGGGCAAAGCCACTAGGAGAGACGGTGTTACATGAACCCACAGAACTCACCGAAGTTTTTCCAGCCTTTCTTTTGTTACTTCCTCAAAAGCATTTACAGAAAAAATGCATAAAATACCACACATAATCATCCACCACTGGTAAGGCATGTTTATTTCCATCTTTGCCACAGAAGGATTTGAAGGTCAGGTGTTGTTGGGAAGTGATGTTCACATCCTCATCAGCTGTAAAAAGACATGGCATGATATCAGGACAAAGAAAGCTAGCAAAAGCAGCATTACACATATCATGCATTATACTGTACTTCAAGCATCCTCTTGCTCAAAAATGATGGCTCTGAATTGGTCAACCAAGTGGTTGAGACAATGGGCACTGGGCAAATAGCCATGGCAATGACAAGACAGGTGAAGTCAGACAAAATTGTGGAGCTTACTGACCCTTAAGCACCATACTACCCAAGCATGTGTTGGATTATATGGGATAAAAAGTTCATCCATAAAAGAATCAATTTTCGCAACTAATTATTTTCTAATTGATTCATACACCGCCTGAAAAACAGTGCTGTTGATGTGCAGACCACGGGACATACACCAGGTTGAGCTTTCTGTTTATGGGGCTGCAAACCCACGCAATATAATCCCGAACCTCACGATTCCATTTGCTAAACCCGTCTGTCGCCATTCTGCATACCCCCTTTTCTGTCTTGTTTTAGATTAGGGCGCATAGCCTCCCGGGCTCAAGCGCATTTTGAGCAAGCGTATTGACGTTTTTCTGATATCCATAAATGTCGTACATGCGCTGCAATAGGAACATACGGTGTGACCAGCAAGAGTATGTTCCGCTAGCGTAAGCTAAGATTCACAAATTAGATGTAAGTATGCCCTTCTAGATCAATCAAAAGTTGCAAATACTACTCACGTAACGATATTATACTCAGGTTGGTCAGGTCTTGAGGACGTCAGTGGAAAGAGCAGGGAATAAAACTAGTGGCGAGAAAGAGGATTATGTGAGGAAAGAACAGAGAAAGAGGAGTCAACGGAAGGGGAACAGGGCCTGCCAGTCCAGTTCCTCGGTGCATGTGGGGAGTGGATGGTGGGGGGGATTGGAGTGTCTTAAGCATTTTGCATTTAGGTAAATGATAAGTTGAGGAGTATTTTGGGTGGTTGCAGGAAGGGTGGTTGGAACGACATTCAAAGTGGTAGGGAACCGAGAAAAGGCAAAGTGGTGCATTCTCAAGGTGAGTCAGATGTGTCATCGAAAGTTTGGAGATTGACGCGCCTTCCACTAAAGCTTTTAAGGCCTTAGCCTGACTCACGCCTCTGTGCATATGGGTGTGCTTACTCAGGCTAAGGCAGTGACTAGTGATCAAATCCAATGAGTCATGCCTAAAATAGTGCATGCTGACACTATGCTTTAGGCGATTTGGTAATTTTCACTCAAGATATGTGGAGTTGAAAGCAGGCTGCAGGAAAACCCATGTCCTGAGATAAATTTTACACTAGCCAAATGATTGTGCTAAAATGAGGAAAGACAGGGTTGCTTCCATGTTATTGGGTGACGTGCCCTTATTGCACCATCCATCGACAAACATATGTATGTACTTCTCCTGTGTCATGTTTCATTACGTGTTAAATATATTAATCCATCATGTCTATGAAAGTGGAGGCTATCAACAATTAAAGAAGGATAGTTGGCATTATTTAGCAGCGCAAGGAAGAAAGGAGACCGACTATATTTTCATGCCTTGGGGAAAATGTGGTTTGAAACCTATAGTATTGATTTGAAAAGTTGATGCATCTAGAATTGAACCTGCTGTTATTCCCTGACCCTCCAGAATTTCTCCTGCCACTGACCTGAAATGAAATAAAACATTGGTTTTTCTTAATCCTGATCTCTACCCTTGATATGACCTTGTTTGAGTGCAGCCTATATATGGCAGAACATTGGGTCATTAGATTATGGTGATGATAGGTAGATTTTTAATGCATTTGAATTTTGCATGTCCATGATAACCATGTCAGTGCATCTTAATGCTGACAAATTTGATACTGATGACAGCACACCATGCATGAGCTGCAGGCCAGGCATGTACATACATGCCATCCAGAAAGCTATGTTTTGAAGTTTGTTAGGCTTAAATGCTGGTGGTGCATCAGAAATATTCTGGTGGAGGATGAATTCACATGACAAGCCAGGACATGAAAAGAAGACAGATTTACCAGTGCTAGTGAGGCAGGGTAGGAGTGCTAGGTTGTACATATGCTGTGTGCTAGCATGGGCTATGTACATGTACTATGCACTATGCATACATGCACTGTGTACTATGCATATATTCACTACATACTATGCATACATGTATCATGCACTGTGCCATGCAGTATGTATGATGTACTGTGTACTATCAGTAAGCAATATCATCAATATATCTTGCTGTTTTTGCATAGAAGTTTCATGAGATTATGAAAAATAACCTGACCATATCCCCCCTGGCTCTGTGTTGACATACTGTGCATCCTACACTGATATTTACAGGTTGTAAGAGCTGCTGTGCATTTAAATTCCTCTTGTATAATAAATATATACCATGTTTGAGTGCAGCACACCTGGAAATTGCCATCTTGCAATAACAGTCCCATCAAGTCCCCAGAGCCTGTATTCTTACAATTTGTAAGTGCTGCACCATTGTGCCATCCTTGCCGTGATGCAGGAACTAAGAGGGCCAGTGGTGGATGGAAGGGCAAGGGAAGGATGAGTCTTACCCAACTTTATGAGAATTTACTTTGGCCTCATGGACATAGCAGAAAGAGATACTCAATAAATAGTAATTCCCAACTTGGAAGGACCTCATTTTCCTTGCATCCTTATGCCTCCTTATTCATATGATGTTTAAAGTCACTGCAAATGCTGGGTGAAGTAAGCAGCATGTACATCATTTTTTAGAGTTGTATCTCTCATGACAGACACTATGCTATTATGAGTGTGTGTGCACCTGCTCCCCAGTGCTGAATTTCCTCACCTCAGTGTTGTCTTGGTCCTACCTCCAATGTCTGTCCTCCTTTTCAGTGATCTGTGTGCCTCTTTTTCAGTGTTACAAATGCTCCATACCCAGCATTGTATCGGCATCCTCTTCAGCATCACCTGTGTTTCCCACACCATTATATTTGCCTTCTCTCCATTGTGGCTGCAAAGTCATGACAGTGATCTGAAGCTGAAGTTAAAGCTTAATCCAGTGATCTCAAAGAATGAAGCTGTGTGGTCAAAGCTGAGGGAAGTGGCTTCTATAAGCAAATCACAAAGCCTGATTTCCAACCAGTGGCATTCTGGTGGAGGTAGCATAGTGATTAACACATGTGTGTTAATCACCCTGTGTCAGGGAGACCAGGGGTACAGAGTTCAATTCCTACTGGTGCCCACCCTTCCTGCCAGGATGAGAGATAGGGGACATCATATAGGCTCAGCAGCTGGGTATGTAGCGAACAGCCCAGTTACAATGACAGCAACCAATGGAGCTCAGACTTTGTACACCTGAACCTGAGGCCACAGTTATCAGCTTTGAGACTATGATATGCTTTGCGAACATCAGCCCATCAGCTTAGAATTAGAAGGCCAAAGCTAAAGGAAATAAATCATCCAACATCATTGTGTGAAACCAAGACCTTTTTGCACCTGGAAAAGCTACATGGTACCAAAATGTCATTGTAATTTTGTGCCAGGATCAAGGCAGGGTGTTAACATTAAGGTATAAAGCTTCATGAGAGATGGGGACATACTGTGGTCTTTATTTTACATTTTAGTATGTGGACAACATATTTGATATTTCTCCAGCTGTTGTCCATTATGATTGGTCTGTGCAATGACCAGCTGTGTTTTTTGTTTTGGCTTTCAGACATGTAGACACAACATCCTGGAAAGTTGTGGTATTTTGATGGTGGGCCAGTACAGGTGGGACTTTTTATGAGGCAAAGGCAGAATGGCCATAAAAGATTACAATGACAAAGCCAAAACCAGCTGTCTAATATGACATGAAGCCAGACACAAAGCCATAATAAATATACCAAAAAAAAATGGTAGACTCTGAAGGGTGTTGGGGGTTACAAATGACAAAGCTGAAGCAGAGGACAACTGCTAAAAATGGCATGAAGCTTAGGCCAAAGCCAGGTGTGGGAAACAGCTCAAAGCATTAACTGAACCTGAAAGTGACTTTGATAGGACAGTAGTAATAGGCTTGTTGTGTGGTAGGAAAAAAAAGCAGGAGAATGGAGATGTGGACTGAATTAACAATAACTCATTGTTAACATGCATTAACAATAATGGTAACACACTTATATCTCCATTTTCCCAGTTTTTCTTCAGGGAATGAGACTATTACTACTGTCTTATCAATGTGCATGATGCTCCTCACAAATGCATGCAATGACTTACACAATTTTTAAAGTGACTGTAGGAAAACCAGAGCTTTGCTAAGCTAAAGCTAAAGCAGACCCAGTTTAGTACCCACACTTGTTGTGCAGCAGCATTTGCAGGCAGATAGTTCCACATACTTCATTTCAAGTACCATCCATGATACCATCCATCTATGATACCCTCATCTTTCATCTTTGAATACAATAGCCATGCATAAATTTCATGATCGGATGATGGGGTCAGGGCTAATGCAACAAGCACTGCACAAGGCATGGTCCCTGGTTCCAGAGATCCATCCAGTCGAAAGGTACAAACAAAATCTTTTGAAATTATCTGGGAGGTTTAACAAATGCAATATGCAGTGTGGCCATGGCAGATAATTTGATGATGTTGTTGTCAACTGGACATAAGTTCTTCCCACCTTGCTCCTCTCTGTTGTCTGTATATACATCTTGTGTGCAGTATTCTCCTGTTTATGGTTGCTGTATGAGGTGCCCTTTCTGTTGTGCATATCTGCAGTTCTTACAAATTCAGTTTTGCTATCTACTTCCATGTTTTTTTACTTGCACCCTATTGCTTTGTATGTTGTCTTTCCAGCTTAAAATGTGCCTCCCTATAGTGACATTGGCTTCCCTCCACTCTGTTGGCAGCCATGTCTGTGGAGATATGTGCATGCACAGGTGGCAGGCTCTGTTTGGCATGTACTCCAAATCCATCCAATGCCAAGCAATGTTGAGTCAATGTTAGTTTCCCTGCGAAGCATTGGGCATGAATCTCAAAAAAACACTTTGGTATCAACTGAAATATAAAGGCTTTTTCCATAGTGAATAACAGTGGCATTATCTCGGTGCAGGTCCGTAGAAAAAGAGGCGCCTGCTTCTTCTGACCAGCGATGTCCACCCCAGCCAGAAGACGCCTGATGCGCGACTTCAAAAGGTACGCCATCTTCTGAACTGCTGAACCTTCCTGCAGTGTTCCCCTAATTCTGTGAAATGAGGATGCAATGCACTTTCACTTCACTTCTGTTGTTGTGAGCTAGAATTACAATGGTTACATTGAGCATTCCCATATTTATCGGCGTGTCGTTTTTAAAAAAATGTTTAAGAAACAAATTTATGTGACCGGGTTGAAGAGGTCCTGTTCCCGAAGTTGTCTCGTGGCAGCTGCAGGACCACTATTTCTATTCTGTATCGCCTGTGGAGGCTCGGAGGGCTCTCTGTCCCCACCTGCGTTGCTACGCGGTCTGTATTTCGGGCGAGGAAGAGGGAGGGGCATCTCAGGTGGCTGTGTCCCCCTCCCCGGCTGCTGCTCCGGCCATTATACCAAGTGGCAGCTGTAGGGCCACTGTTTCCTCCGCTGGAGCCACCGGACACATGTCCTGTGGGGTAGCCGCTCGTCGCCCGTCTGGACGCCGTGAGCATTGACGGCTGCCGTGTGTGCTCGCGTCTGTTCCTCAGGCTGCAGGAGGACCCGCCGCAGGGCGTTAGCGCCGCGCCCACCGACAATAACATCATGATCTGGAACGCCGTCATCTTCGGGTGCGTTACCCGCCGCCCGTGCACGTGGCGGCCAGACCCGGCCGCCAGCCGAGGCACATTCGCATTCACAGATCTCTTTCGTCAAGCGTCGATAGGCGTCAAACAATCCCTTCTTCTTGTGCAAATGATGTTTAAATTATTCAGGCGTGCGCTGTGTGACTGGATCATGCATATCGGTTATCTCAGTATATACATCGTCGTTTAAACGTTCAACCTGGCTATTGGGGATAATTATGGGTGTTGAATTGTTACCTATTGCAGTGTGAAGTTTGATTCTTGGTGCGAGGCTGCAACCCAATTCATTTCTCTATTTATAGGGATAACCCTGAACATATTATTGGTTATCCAAATTGCATTTAGCCTATGCTCAAAAACTCATGTTTCAAATTTGCATTTTTGTTGACCATCTGCCACCAGCCCTATGGTTGGTTGTATGCTCTTTGCATCACAAGGAATCTATGCCTGGCAGCATTTGCAAGTCGAATGCTCCTTCTCTGGAAGCAGTGAAATGATTACATCTATGTAAGGTACCTGAACAGAAGGTGGTATTGTTAATTCGCGACCAATGCTGTGGTGCCTGTCGCCAAAGTCAAGATCTGTTAAGTTGGGCAATACGAGGGTATATAGTACGGCAAAAGCCTCCAATGTTATCAGAGGAGAGGGCAGGTCAGTTATCCTTCTGCTAATTTCGGGCATTTTTGGGGTGTACCTGGCACCACCTATCAGGAATTCCCGGGCAAGAAGTTGTTGTTTGGTGTTTGTTGTTTCCCCCTATCGATGCTCCCATAAATGCACTTTTTAATTTTAAGCGTGTTGAAGTTTTCGAAGGAAATTAATGTGCAAGTTGGGGAGCTAGGAGCAGTTAAAATCCCCCGCTCTGTTGATGACTAGTTCCGTCAGTGAAAGATGGAAGGACGATGGTCAGGTTGAAACCAGTGTGAAAAACTAAGTCGCCTCTCGTTAGTATACCCCATTTTTATTTTTATGTTTGTGTGATATGTCTCCAAATCGAATCAAAAGTGTGTCGTTGGTTTACGCGTCTGATATTTGGATTAAGGATTTTAATTATATAGAAAGACACGTAAGTGCGTTTGTTTTTGTCCATGTCTAAAGGAATCGGAAGGCGGTGTAAGCTGGATAAATATGTTTTAGTCTGTGCGCCTACTTTCCAGCGTACAGAAAAAATATCATAAATAGCATGGTTCATCGCGTTCGTGGGCACATGTTCAGCACCAACCAGCACGGCCGACCAAAGGCCCGTGTGATCACACCACCTGTTCATTGGCGTGCGGTGCACAGCAAACGGGACACGGCCGGACGTCACCGCCTTCTCCGCATGCCGCTGTGCACCGGACGCGGTGAGCACAACGAGCGCCGCGCCTGACCGCCCTCCCCCCCCCCCCCCCCCCCCCGCCCGCTCTCCCTCGCCCCTGCAGGCCGCACGACACGCCGTTCGAGGACGGCACGTTCAAGCTGATCATGGAGTTCACGGAGGAGTATCCCAACAAGCCGCCGCTAGTGCGCTTCATGTCCAAGATGTTCCATCCGAACGTGTACGCCGACGGCGGCATCTGCTTGGACATTCTGCAGAATCGCTGGAGCCCCACCTACGACGTGTCGGCTATTCTGACGTCGATTCAGGTACGGACCGGCCGGGCTGCTGGGCAAGCGGCGTGGTACGGGGCTGCCGGACGGGTGGCGTGGTACGGACCGGCCGGGGGCGGTGTGCATACCGCCCTGATGCTTATCCTGGTAAGGAGTCGGTGATGTATCGGCGACCCGTTCGTCTGTGTCATTGTTTAAACGTGAGGAACACGCTTTAGATTCGGAATAACTCAGAAGCGTTATGGCCGGACGGTTGGTGTCTTTCGCTCTCACGTGAAGACCCTTGGTTCGAACCGCGGTTGTGCTGCGGCCTCGGGGTGGTGATGTGATCACCGCACCTGCTGGCGCTTCATAAAGGGTGCGCACCGACGTGTGCCGCACTCCTTTTCAAAAAGTTGAATAGCGCTGACTAGGCGCCATTGTCAGGTAAATTGCCCAAGTCACTGCGCCGCACCGGCATGATATGACCCTTGATGCCGACGTGTCTTTAAACACTTAACAACCCACCACACCTGCCTTCCACGGGGACATGGAAGCGCATCCATTGTGATAGTCATCTATCCGCGTGCGCACTCGCATACCAGCACGTGTCGGATCCAGCACTGCCGGCCCGTCCACTGGCAACCTGCAGCGGCGCGCGGCGGTCGCTTGCCCCGATGGTCCGGGTCCGTCCGCCCACCCGTGCGCCGCACGCGATGGGGACGGCTGGCCGCAGCCGAGCCCGGGCCTGGGCCGGGACCGGACCGGACCGGCCGGTGACAGCTCGGCCGGCGGCCTGCGGTGGCGCGCTGGCGGCCGACGGTTTTCCGCACGATCACGCGACATTGAAGGTCTTCGTAACGGGACCAGACCGGGCGTATGCACTGCGGTCGCAAGGTCGCGCTCGAGCCGTTATGTCTGTTTCTGTGGGTGTTTTTCCGTCTCTGCCTGTGTTGCTTCGCCGCTGTCTGGGCTTCTCCGTCTCTGTCTGTTTCTCTTCGTTTCTGCCCCCCCTCCCCCTTTATCTTGTGTCTTTATCTGTCTCTATATGTCTGTCTGTCTTGCCGCTCTGACTCTGTATCCGCCTTTCTCTCTCTGACTTTTTTAGGCGTTGGTTTCTGTCTTTTGGTATTTGTATTTGCCTCTATCTCCCCGTCTTTGTCGCAATCTCTCCGTCTGTCTCTGACTGTTTGTCTCTCCGTCCGTTGTGTCTCTTCGTCTCGGTATGTCCATTTCGGTTCCTGTCTCTGTCTTCCCGTCCCCGTCTCCATCTCGGTACCCATCCTCGTCTCCGTCTCTTTCCACTCATTCCCGTCTCCCCATCCCGCCGTATGTCGGCGTCGGGCTAGCTGGAAGGTATGGGAACGGCCTCGCATGGCTGGAGGAGCGTCCGCCACGATTGTGCCGAGTCGTAGGTCGGGACCGGGCTACGGGTCCGGCGCCTCTTCGTTCACAGCTGCATCGACATGGTAAACTGTGACGCGAAATAACAAGAAGTTGGACGCGTTATGAAATCCATCACTCGGTTATAAACTGATGGCTTTTATAAGCCAGCAGATAACCTCGTTCGAGTTGACACGGGACCGTTGTTTGTGGCAGTAACTGTTGGTGGAAACGTTTCGGCTTGGTGAGCCGTGAGCCGCCGTAGTGCTGTTTGTAAGACCCAGCCAACCCTGGCCATGGCGAGGAGGTGTGAGTGCTGGCTAACTGAAATGATGGCTATGCTTGCCGCGTTTTCTACCGGTAAGGCAGCCAAAGGTCGTCCTTGTCGTTGTCTCGAATTGTGTGTTCTATTAACTGAGTTGCCGTTGAGTCGGCTGCCATGGGAATGAACGATGCGGGCGTGCTGGTCGCGTGGCACGGTCGTTCCACACGAAGTGGACGATTGAAGTGGGCGCACAAAACCATTGCGACACGTGAAAGTAATGTATGGCCGTGAAATTGTACGTAAATCGTGGGTCGGCTGTGTATGAACTGGGTGCACGCTGCCAGTCTGGGCTGTCTTCGTGGTGAAGCTGCCGTGACGTGGCGTTCATCCGTGGACTGGCCCGCGTCGGCGGCCGGCGACCTGATCCTGTCCTCCGCCCGCAGTCACTGCTGGACGAGCCGAACCCCAACTCGCCGGCCAACTCGCTGGCCGCTCAGCTGTACCAGGAGAACCGGCGCGAGTACGAGAAGCGCGTGGCAGCTATCGTCGAGCAGTCGTGGCTGAACTTCGCTGAGGACGACGAGACCGAGGAGAAGGCCGAGCCGGCCTCCTAACGGCGTGGCCGCCTAGCTCCGCGGCGGCCGGCTGCGCCGCCGGCCCCGCCGTCTAACCAATGACGAGACGTGGCGTGCGCGCCCCGGACAGAGCGGCCGGCGGCCGATGCTGGCCGCGCGCGCTGCCGCCCGCCCGCCCGCTCGCCGCGCTGCGTCCTTCCGCCCGACCCCCGCCCGCCGGGCACGCCTGTATAAAGACGGACGCGCCGTGTAGTACCGCCGTTGGTGATGTCTTCGATGTGACGAGCTGCTCCCCGCCGGCCGGTGGCCGTGTTGTACTGCGCTTCTCGCCGAGCTGGCGTTACTTGTGTTCTGCATTGAACTCGTTTTGGTCACTAGGTATAGTAGACGTGGACGATCTTGTGCACGAGGAGAAAACTGCTTTTATTGCAATGTCACTAAATCGGGAAATACACTTTGGAATTTCAATGCGGAGTTTTCGAGGTGTTGAATTATGAATGCGAGTGCTCGGAGGAGAAACTGTTTGTCGTTATCGCGTACCCTAACGGGAGTGGTTCCATGACGTCATATGTTTGGCCTGGCCCGTTTGTTGGGTGCTCCTGGTTGCGTGGTGCGCGACTCGGGACATAGAGGATAGTCCGCTTCACCGCTCGTCTCGGAATGGGCAGCCGAACGGCGTGAGGTGCTGATGCCGTGCGGCTGGGGTGATGTGGGGACTATTGACGGCATATTGACGCTGACGTGCTGCTGGGGAACTAGCGTGAAAATGGCACACTCTGGTCCGTATTTCGGCAAAGATTCCGTCCAGGCAGACTTGCGAGCCACACTTCGCACCACGGTTTTTCCCCACGCAAAAGCTGGTGCGCAAAACTTCATCGCATGTTGTGAATAGAATAGAATAGAATAGAAGTTTTATTTCTGTCTTGGTAAACTGAAATACTCGGAGACTCAAAACATCGTTGGGTAAAATTTTTTAAATAAAATCAATATTCACACCGCCGGCTGATGTGGGATTTCTATGCATCGGGATCTTCTTTAGCACTTAAGAGTCGTATGCCATCTTGTAGGGTTACCCTGGGAGCCCAGGACCTATAGATGGCCGCTTGTCCATGCGCTAAGGAAGATTTTACTTGAAAATCCGAAATCAGCGGGTGCCTTCAAAGGAGTTATTCGTCATGCAGCCTTGAAGGAACCTTAAAAGTCACGTGACATTGAAAAAGATTATCACGTGATTTTTTATCATATTATATTATGCACATACACGCGTTAAAATCAGAGGCCGTCGCTACATAGATCCCAGACTTCACAGGCGCAGTAGTTGGTCCCGGATCAGCTGAGGCAAAATGACTTCCTGACCCAAAAGCAAGACTATCTAACGCACAAAAGTATCCCTTATCGCCACAGGACATCCAACATTTGATATAGGGACTTTTATGGCCCACTGGACTCAGTACTGATACGGGCGGAGAGCCCCGTTTCGGCCTTCTGCTGAACGGAGGGCAAGCCCGGCTAGCCACTCGTATAATACTGGGGCACCCTGACTGGCACAGAACCCTTGCGTTGTCTCATTGTAGACAAATTCATAACCATTGTCGTTGATCATAACTCCTTTCATTGCGAGGGAGCCCGGCCAGCGCAAGAGGCTGTGTATATTGATAACGGGGGTCCCGTCCTTGCCGGCAGGGTTCAGCAAGCGGGTCCTAACTAATGCGGGTCTTCTTGTCGATCCAGGATCCCTTGTCACGCACTGTTGCCCTCTGACTCACATAGGGACCTCACCAAAGGTCACAGACCTTCAGACTGACAGCAGCGGTCCCAGACCTTGTCCCTGGTTAAGAAATGAGCCCTCAAGGCCGGTATGGGGTCGACCGTTCGGTATTGGCGAGCTCTGATCGGCATTTGGAGCTTATTGTCTCTGGGGTTCCCGGTCGGCACAGGGGGCCTTTTTGCTGAAGGTCGAGGGCTATGTCGAGGGCTATCATCGATCCCAGGGGGCCTTTTAGGTCCCTTCGGGACTTAAGCGACAACATTCCGCCTACTCCTTGCTGCCGGAGCCCGTGCTTAGGAGTGACAACGTCCTCCCCTGTACCCCCCCCCCACCACCACCACGAAGTACCTCCCCCCCCCCCCCCCTGAGCGGCATTGAATGCCCGCTCCCCAAGAGTGTATTGAACTTTGCTGCCCGGACAAGTTTATTTCATAGTTGGCAGCCCAAGCTGCATATTTGGCAGCTGTTATTTAGCGCGTCGCGTTTGAATGCGCCCTCGGTCGACTGTCGACACCGGAGGAGTGGGTGGCTCCGGGTGGTCCACGAGTATAATCCAAGTAAATGGATCCGTGGTGTCTCGGCTAGTAGTAGGTCCCGCTTTGTTAAATTCTTAAGCTTAGATTGCGGAGGTGAGTAAATGTTTTGGCGCATTGTTTCTGCTCAGTTAGCAGTGCACTGTTCTGTGTAGTTTTTGAATTGAATTGGGGGACCACAATCATCAGCGTGGTTGGTGGATAGATAGCTAACCCGATAAATACTTGGCGCTTGCAGGAGCGTTTTCTCCAACCAGTAATATGTGAAACTTGGTCTGAGGTTATCTGAATTCTCAAATGCACTGCCTACTCTTCCATCCATGCCTGGTCCCTTGCCATTACCATCTATTCAAATGTCAAATGTTCATGTCATTGTGTTGTTTAAAGAGAAGCTGTTAGGACCGCATGTCTCACATCTAGTGTTTTACCAGACGCGTTGTCTGTTGGTGGCAATGACTTCCTCAATCCTTGCTCTGGCATTGAAAGTGGTATTTGTGCATCAGTATGAAACAGAAGGTGAGGTGTAGAGGTGTACTTAACAGAGGTGTATTTTCCAATTAAGTTGGGTGGGCTCTAGCCCTCCAACTTGGCTCTAGCCCCACCAGCATTGTGAAAAAGCTGGGCAAGGTCTGGGAAGAAACCAGTTTACTGGTACATGTTGGGGTCTGTTGTGTTATGTTATTTTCACCACTCATCCTTGATTCTGTGTCCATTATAAACAAGCTGTTTGTATTGTTGATATTGCCTTGAATCTGGGTTTAATGCCTGCCATTGGTCCATGCCTTAAATGTATTATGCTAGAAGAAGGTGGCCCGTAATGGAGCATAACAAGGTAGCAAGGCAGAAATTGGGAGGTTTAGACAGGATTATGCCCAGGTATTACAAATAATGATGCTATATTTGAAAGCAAAAGGAAATGTTAAAGCCACATATGGCTGGTTTTCTCTCATGGTAAGGAACATGCCCACTGTTTGTTTCACATCCCCAGTTCAGTTAGGGGCCAAATTAATATTACTTTTTAAGACATAACAATTTTGCTCAATGTAACCAGAGCAGTTTTATCCTGCATATCCAGTGGATAACTAGGGGGGAGTGAGAAATTTAGAAATCATAAGATGTTTGCTCATTGTAATTTCTGGATGGCCCCAATCACCAGGGAATAAAAGGACAATCATGAGATTGCACACTTTGGTACTATTACAGTCATGAATTTCCACAATTTAGCTTTGTTAAGTTAATGCATTGCTAAAGTAGTTCTCAAGCACTCATCTGCCCATATGAGGCATCTATCAAATGAACATTCATCTATTGATCATTAAGTGTACTTGAATAAGAAAATACTTTTGTGGTATCATGCTGTTAATAATCATGTGAATTATTTGCAGCTATAATGGCTGCCACTGAGCAAATTAAAAACTTCATCGCAGCTGCAGAGGCATATAGAAAAACAGAAAGCAGCAAAAACCTCACACACCTGCAGAGACATATTAAGGTAAATGTGATAACTACCATTGTCCACCTATATAGCTTGTTCATGCATGAAGGAGTATTCATTGGCATGCTTCTAATTCATTAAAAGTTGGAAGCTCATGGCTCCCATAGGGTATGTTTGTTTTATTCAGGCTAACATTTCCAAGCATTTTGCTCTGAAAAACTTCTTTCAGTTTACTGTGGCATTGCTCAACTGTCTGATTTTTGGTAAGCGATTAGTTATTGAGATTAGTGTTAAGTTATTTCACTCAACACTATCTGTTACTGCATTTTGTCAAGATATGTTTTCAGTGGTGTGTTGCTGACTGTCCATTTTTTTGGTAAGCTATTAATTATTATGATGCATATTAAGTTATTTCACTCAACACTATCTATTACTGCATTTTGTGACTGGATGTTTTCAGTGGCCTGCCAAGTGTCCTCAAGATGCCCATGCTCATGTTCTGACTCGCCTTTGCATACCCCGTCCCAGATTCTGTACGTGGTCTCGGACCTGGCCGTGTTCTCCGGCGACGACCAGCTGACGTGCGACTTCTACCTGAGCTTGCACCGGCTGCTGGCCAGCCTGGGCGTGACGTCACCGGTGACGTGGCTGCTGGTCCGGCTGCTGGAGCACCTCTGCACGGACGCGGACGCCCTCAGGATGCTGCGGGACCGGTCAGTCGCCCAGCCCAGCCCGGCCCGGACCGACGGTGTCTGACCGGGCGTGGTCATGATCACGCCGAGCCGACCCGTCTCTTGTCCCACTATTCGGGAGGATGCGTAAGGTCGAAGCTGATAGTGTTCTTGTGGGATCTAACACGTGTGTAGAGCTTGCTCAGTCATTGGTGGATTCAGGTAACGGGAGGTCACATGACGGTGCGCAAAGGGTGGGCGGTGCGCAAGTTTATACGCCATGGTGCGGACCCTTCACATTGTGAGAGATGTGCGTGCGTCGCGCCACACGATATATGTGCGTTGGACCAATTTGAGAGATGTGTGCGGCCTCCCCCAAATCGTCCACACCGACTGATGTGCTCACACTGCATTGCACCAGGCAATGCCACTGCTGTGTGGTAAAAAAGCCTGGCCTGATATGGCATGCTGTTGGTTCTTCGCCTACCCTTGCAATAGTAGCAAAGACTCTGGTATCCTGACCAGAAACCCTGTTACATGTTGTTTTAAGAGAGCTTGCCGATGCGTTGTGTGTGCTGCCGTCGCCGTCAGTGTATGGGACTGCTGGCTTTTGACTGTAGTCAGTGTGTGTGATGTGATGGGCATGTGTGATGGCAGGTTCTGTTTTTTGCCGCTGGTGGCCGGCCTGCTGACCTCGCGGCCCGAGGGGGACCGGACGGCGCTCCTGCTCGGCGTCACGGAGTCGCTCACCGCTGACCTCCGCCTGGACAGGTGGGTATTACCCAGACCCAGACCTGGACAGGTGGGTCTTACCCAGACCCGGACCCGGACCCGGATCCGGACCCGGACCCAGACCCGAACCCGAACCTGAACCCGGACCCGAACCCGGATCCGGACCCGGACCTAGGCCTGGACCGGGCCCTCCGGCCGACGTCACCGGGCTCCCAACTCAGACGCTGAGGCGGCTCCGGCTCTATGGTAGCATTGGCCGCCAGCTGCCGCCGGTTGTTCCCACCGAGCACCATGTATCCTACGACGGCCCCGTCTGCCGCTGATCGCGA